TCCTGGAAATTCACAAGTGACATATGCTGAGTCCACATCCAGCTCTGCCCATATTTATTTCCACTTGCCGTCGCCTGGTGTCCGCGTTCTCTGCATTTCCTCCTCTCTATAGAACTGAAGAGCTAGTCTGTGAGTCCAAGATCATGTGTGTATAGCACTTCTCCATAAGGAGTTCTAAACCAAAATATTTTTAAAAAATAACCCAAGCAGCTAATAGTGATACATTCTAGTGCAACGAAAGAGGCAATTCTGTGATAATAAGCAGTACTTGTTTTTGGAAGACACTGAGCTGTGTTTCCAGGAGCTGAAAGGCCTTTGTGCCTTCCAGACATACTTCTTGTCTAATTCTTCCCTTCCTCCAACACCTGCCCACTCCTCTGCTCCCAGATAACCTCTAGGAGCTGTCTGTGGCAGAGTAAGAACAAATCGAGGTGAGCCGCGGCAGTCGTGGCTCTTGAGCTGGTTTTGCCTACCTTTCCTAAGCTGGTTGGCCACATAACACAGGACGCAGGTAGGGAAAGGAAGGTGAAGATTATAATGATGTTCACTACAACAGCAAGAAAGGGGATGGCTTTTGGTGTAGCAATTAAGATGCTTCTTGGAATGACTCTGTCCCATATTGGAGAACCTGAATTCAGGTTCCACTCTTCTTCTTCTTCTTTTTTTTTTTTTTTTTAATTAATTTATTTATTTGAAAGGCAGAGTTACGGAGTGGGAGAAGCAGAGGGGGAGGGAGGGAGAGAGATCTTCCATCCACTGGTTCACTCCCCAAATGACCACAACAGCTGGAGCTGGGCCAATCTGAAGCCAGGAGCCAGGAGCTTCCTCTGGGTCTCCCACGCAGGTGTAGGGGCCCAAGGAGGTGGGTCATGTTCCACTGCTTTCCCAAGCCATAGCAGAGAGCTGGATGGGGAGTGGAGCAGCCAAGTCTTAAATCAGTGCCCATATGGGATGCTGGCATTGCAGGCGGCAGCTTTACCAGCTATGCCATAGCACTGGCCCCCCAGCTCCATTTCTGGTGGCAGCTTTCTGCTAATGCACATCCTGGCAGGCAGACAGCAGGTGATGGATCAAGTAATTGGGTCCCTGCCACCCATGTGGGAGACCTAGCCTGAGTTCTGAGCTCCTGGTTTCAGCTTGGCCCAGTCCTTGCTGTTGTGGGCTTTGGGGAGTGAATCAGCAGGTGGAAGATCCGTCTGTCCCTTTTTAAAATAAATAATAAATAATAAAAAATTAATAATAAAAACAAAAACAAGGGTGGACATTGTGTTTAGTGGATCAAGCTGCCTCTTGGGATGCCTATATCCCATGCTGGAGTGCTTCAGCTATTCTTCTAATTCAGCTTCCTGCTAACGCACCTGGGAGGCAGGAAACCATGGCCCATATGCTTGGGCTCCTGCCATGACTGTGCGAAACCCAGATGGAGTTCCTGGTTCCTGGCCTCTGTCTGACTTACCCATAGCTATTGTGAGCATTTAGGGGGAGTGAATCAACAGATGGAAGATCTCTTTCTCTCTCTTTCTTTCCCCCCCTTTCTTTCTGCCTTTTGAATAAATGAATCTTGAAAAAAAAAAAAAGTAAAGCCTCAAATTCTGTCATAAATACATAGAAGATTTATAGCTCATAGCTTCTTGTTATGTCCTTAGTCTTTTGTTATAAAAAGTATTTTATAAGGTTTTGAGGCTAGAATCACTATAATTGAGAACTGAGAATCAATAAGACTGGCAAGCTTGCAGTATACCTAATGGAACCTGAGATTCATTCATTTTTAAAGGGATAAACTTAATTATGATTGAGCCTCATCTTCAATGGAGGCTTTGATACATACTGACCAGGATCAGATACATCATAGTCAAACTCATGATTCCAGTTCAGCTGTGACATGTTATATGGCTGAGCATCACGGAGGCCCACTGCTCTGGTCATTGCCTGGGACTTGGCTGCACAGAATGAGGATACAAATATCAAATGAAGAATAAAAAAAAAAAGTCTGCTATCTCCTCAGCTGGCAGGTCTAGCTTACCCTGCTCTTGGCAGAGCCTTCGATTTCACGCATCCAACACAGTGAGAAGATGGACATGTGCAAGCCAGGTGGAATCCTTACCCGAAACTGAATTGGTCCAAACCTTCCTGTCACTACCACTCAGAAACTCCCATCTTTCCCTCTGTTCATGACACCATCCTCCCCTGCATGAACAAGACTCTGAATCATAAACAAATCTTTTATCACTTATCTACATTGCCATCTGACATCCCTTTGGATGACAAGTCTTAGAGAATGTACCTGCATTTCCTGCCGCCAGCTCCACTGCCCTGGCTGGGACTCTCTTCCATTTGTTGTTCTTATCTCCTGTCTTCATCCGTGTACAGAAGAGGAAATGGAGGCTTGGAGGTTAAGCAACATGTACAAGGTTACACAACTAATAAATAATACAGGAGGGTTCAAACCTGGTTAAGTCTTGTCCCGAATCCGGCATATTTGCCAGTAGATCTGTTAAGCGCTCCTTGCATCCTGCTGCCGCACACAGTCCATTGCTTTGTACTATAGCTGATTATGAAACTGTCCTATGCCCTCTGTCAGAGAGCAAGGCGTGCTGCTCTTCCTGATACCCCTGGCCATGACTAAGCCACAGTCTTCACTTGAAAGGCCGTTCAGGAGTGCATACTGACTTGTCAATGGGGAAATAACTATCCCAGTGGTTTGCCAGGAAATGGCAGCTTGGGAGGGCGTGAGTGCTGCAGAAAGGCTGCAGAAGGAAAAGAAGGCTCTGACTTGGGCTTCAGGTATAGAGGGAATCTGGATAGGCAGAGAGGAAGGGGGTGTGCTGAGGTGGGCCTCAACGTCACGGGCTTAGGGCTCAGCCTGCGAAAGGTTGCTGGGCTGCATGGCGGCGCTTGGAATTTCTGCATCAAGTCCAACTGGGCACACAGACTAAGTGACTCCACATCTTTAGATGTTGGTTTTCTAATGCGTAAAGTGGGAAAAATAAGAGTAGCATTTGGGGTTACCATGCAGCATAATGCGATAATACATGTGATCCTCTTAGTACATTGTCTCAGCCCAATATGTGTGAACGACTATTAATAATGAATAGTATTAAAATATTATTAATAGTAATATGGTCTGAGAGTGCACCAATCTAGTTCTCTGAGTAAATTATTTAACTTGCACTCATAGTGCCATTGCTGTTGACAGCTAAGAGACACAGTCATTTATAGCATCAATATGTCCAGGGGAACACTTTGGTTATCATGGTTTTCCTAATCAATGGATACCAGGGATCCCTGAATACATTTTGATCGCCAAGGGACTCTCATAGCCAAAAATCTGGGGAATGAAACTGCTGGCAAACAGGAGAACACTAAACATATTTTGGGAACAGCAGACTAACTTGGCTCAGCCTTGAGTTTTGGGAGTTGGCTTGACCTGGTGTGCAAGTTGCGGGCAATGCTTTTAAGGAACCTGGGTATATTTCTGATCTTTTAGTATGTTGATTTAATTACCTAAACAAGATCACTACCCCAGGGCTGTAAACTGGATACTGCAAATCCAGCACTCAGCACAATGCACCCGGCTCCCCACCAGGAATCCTATGTGCCTAAGACTAGAGATAACAGTAATGATGGTGATGCTGGTGAAGCCCAATTATAAAATACTTGGATTTCCAACCTGGGGAGGCAGCTGCCTCAAAATGTAGCCCTGGAACAGCACAACCTCAGGCCCAATCAGTGCTTCCATAATCAGCGATTCTGATGAACTTATATTCGAGATCACCAGCTGTTAGGTTCACAGGAGCTGTTGAACGTTTTTTTGGCTGGTGCAGGGCTGTGATATAAAGGACTGTTGATGAAACCGGATTAAACTGCCTGAGTACCCCCTAGCTTGCGAGGCCGCGGGAGGAAGCCTGTTTGTTGATCGTTAGTGCTCTCCAGGTAGAAAACACGGGTTGGTACTTGCAGCCCCACGGTGCTCACCCACGGAACGCATGCACCAGGCAATTAGAGGAGCTGTTTGGGATCTGTCGGCGCAGCCCAGCGATGCCCAGCCAATGCGGTAACTACCACCGAGCCTGGAAAAGAAGAGAAAGGAAAAGAAAAGAGTGTGGGGAAACCGGAAACGAGGGTCTCGAGGGTGACGCCCTTGAGGAGGCGCTGGGCAGGGGGGATGGGGAGACGCGGGGCCAGGGCCGAGGGAGGTCGCGCCTCGGCTGGGGTCCACCCGGCGAGCTCTCGGCCCCTGCTGGCCCCGGCGCGGCGGGACACGCCCTCTGCCCGGGAGACACGAGGGTCCGCCGCCTCCCAGCCGCGGGGGTCGCGGTCACTGCGCTTTCATTTCTGGTCGGTGCGAGGCGGAGGCGGTTTCCGCCCCCCACCCTGAGCGCCCCCAACCCCGCTTCATCCCCTCTTCTGCCATTTTCCAGAGCCCGGTGCGGGTTCGGGCGCGGCGGCCCCACCCTGGGCGCCGGGCGTCGTGTCCGGGCCGCTGCCCGCGCCGCTCGCCGGCCCGGCCATTGTTCGGGCCCCACCCCTGATGAATATTCACGCTGCGCGGGCGCCGCGCCCCGCGCCTCCCCGCCGGGGCTTCGGGGTGTGAGTGCGTTTCCGCCCGTTTTTCCTGCTGGAGAAGGAAAGGGGGAGCTGTTTTCTCTCTCCTCAGAATATATTTTTGGTGTCCCGTTTCTCCTCCTCCCGCGCCGCCGCCGCCCCCTCCCTCCCCGCCTCCCCGCCCGCCTCCGCCTCCCGGGTTATCTTTGTCTCGCTGAGCCTCGCGCTCGCTCGCTCCCTCGCTCGCTCAACTCTCGGCGGCGCCGCGGCCCCTCGCTCCGGGCCCGTCCTCGAGGCGCACGGCGCGGGGCGCGGGCGCCGGGGCCTGAGGCGGCGGGCGACGCCCGGAGGGGGGCCTGACGGCCCGGCCCGCGCCATGGTGTGAGCGCCGCCGCCGCCCGCGCACGCTCCGCCCGCCCGCCCTCCGCGCGGCCCGGGCGGCCGAGAGCCGCGAGCGGCCGGAGATCGCGGCCGAGTCCGCCGCCGCCGGCCCCGCGCGGGGAAGCGTCCCGGGCCGGCCCGGCTGCCGCGCGTGGGGAACGCAGTCGGCGGCCTGGCCCTGCGGCTGAGCGACACCGAGCAGTAGGGAGATTGATTGTTATTATTTGCTTTGCGGTGGCAAAAAGGGAAAATGGCGAACGACTCTCCTGCAAAAAGTCTGGTGGACATCGACCTCTCCTCCCTGCGGGTGAGTGGGCCCCGCGGGCGGGCTGGCGGACGCGCGGGCAGCGGGCAGCGGGGGCCGCGCCCTGGCCGGCCGGGCCCTCGGGCGCCACCGTGGGCAGAGCCGCGGGCGCGGCGGCCCCTTTGTCTGCCTCGGTCGGCCTGTGGGGGGATCCGGGGCGCGACCCCCCGGCACCCCGGCCGCCGCGCGGCCCTGGGGGCGCTGGGTGGGGGGGACCGCACGGGGCGAAACCCACCTCTATTGTCACCGCCCTTCCTCTCCCACTGCCCCGCCGTGTTTATTCATTTGGGGGCCGCTTTTAAATGATAACCGCTGCCCTCCTTCCTCTCCAGGACCCTGCTGGGATTTTTGAGCTGGTGGAAGTGGTTGGAAATGGCACCTACGGACAAGTCTATAAGGTCGGTGCGGGGCGCCTCTTTGTTCGCCGGGGCGCGTTGAAACTTCTGGTTGGGGACAAATGCTCTGTTGACTGGAGGCCACGCCGCTTGGCCGAAGTTGGCAAAAGGCTTTCTCCTTGCAGCCCCTCTGTTTCTGAACACCCGTTGTGATGGTCACAGTGGCCTTACAAGACCTCACTTCCTGGCTTTGAGATAAGGAAATAAGCTACACTCTTAGGCATGCACTTTTTCTTAAGTAAAATGGAAACGGATTTTTTTTTAAATAAGACAACCTGGATTTTTTTTTTTAAATTTTCATTTCCAAATGTGGCCTTTGAGTTTGTGCATGGATTAAAAATTCAGGATGGGCAGGCCTTGCCTACGATGATCCTAAACCCGCGCCAGCGCCTTCCTGAACATTGTCACCGGCCGTCCTTGTTTGAGGGCTTGCCAGGTGCCCGAGGTGGGGCGTTTGGTGTTACCTGGGACTGACTATTTTCTAACTCTGCCTGTCGGACCCAACACTGACGGATGCATATTTTTGGAGAAGCAGCGAGGAGTGTGTGTTTGGGCAATAGGAGCAGAAGAATTACTGTGTGGGGATTATAAAATCTGAATTCCAGGAATAACCTGTTTGACAGCTGTGTAATTGAAACAGCCATGAGGGCGAGCCAGGATGCTCTGTATTCACACCCATCCCAGGTCTCTTCTCTTTTTTTAAAAAATTTTAACCATCCCCCCCGCCCCCCCCCAACCCTGTAAAAGAAATCAAGGAATCTGGGGACTGTTGAGTGTTCCCTGAGTAGCTGACACCTGGTTGACTCGCAGAGTTGTTCTTTTTATCCAGTGCACGTTGTAGAGGTGATGAAAGACCTGTAGGTAATGGAGGTACAGGCTTTGGGAATGCATTCTTCCAGGCTGCATTGGATTCTTGTTGACGAATCCTTTTCTCAAAGTGATCTGCAATTGGGTGCAAGGTTGGGCTAGGGAAAAAAAAATCTTATGAAGCAGCCCTTTGTGGTTCACCATGAAGAATTGTCATTGTTTCGTTGAAAACTGGGGGTCGGGGGAGTGTTGGGAGCTGACTGTAGACATTTTCTTGGGCCTAATAAGTGTGGATCCTTTTGTCTGTCTCCTGCTTTCTGAATAGGGCTTATCCACCACTTGAACGCCTGTCCCCAGCCCCAGCTCCCCCTGGCCTGTAGTCTGAAGTTGAGTCGGTTTTCTTAGGTGATCTCTAGTGAATTCGCCTGTGTGTTGTTGGTTAGCTGTTGGGGCCCCGGGCCAGATTTTTGAATTTGAAAACGAGCCCTGTTAAACTCGGCCTGTTGGGCTCAACTGAATTTGGAAGGCTTTGGAAAAATTTGGAAAAGATTGTGTTGCAACTCACTGAGTGGCTGGTTACTGGCTTAAAAGATGTTCTTCCCAGCCCCCGTGTTTGTTTAAGCACCAGGCGGTTTTTTTTTCTAACCCAGTTTTTCTGGCCAGATCTTAAGTGGTGAGTGTAATCTTCCAAGTGAGTTAGCCAGAGCTTGGTTTTGACCTGGTTACACGGACGTTGACTTGTTTGTATCTTAGTTGGTCAGCATGGGTGTTAAGAGCAGAGAAGTCGTCGAGGGTGCCATAGTAGTTTTCAGACCATAAGAAAAGAGTGATACCAGGGTGCATATTATTTTAAGAGGTGGGCTTTTAACAGTTTGGGCAGGTTCACTGTTAAGTTTTTACCTCCTCCCCCCATTTCCTTTTGGGTTCCATCCCCCCTCCCTCAAGCTCTTGAAGCAGATTTGCTGAGCGCTGCATTTGAGAAGTATTTGGGATACTGGCAGTGACACAGCTCTCTGACTACAAAGTCTGTGCAGCTGAGGAGAAATTCTCTAATTATGCAAACCCAAGGATGAAGAAATCTGTGCAGAAGTTGCATGCAGTCCAGAACGAAGAAGTGTCTGAGATTTTGCGCTCAAGTGGTTACTTTTTTTTTTTTATCAAACATACACAGAAAAAGAGAAAGCTCAGTTTAAGTAATCAGCACATGACTAATCTTGTTTCATCTATATTTCTTCCTCTCTTTTATCTTAAACTCCAGATACCATTTCATCTATAAATACTTCAGGATGTTTCTTTTCTTTTCTTTTTTTTTTTTTTTCTGTTTTTTACGCAATCACAGTGTCATCCTCACATCACCAGTGTTAACATTTTCCTGATTACTTTCTTCATATCACAAGAAGCTCTTCAGTGTTTAGGAACTGCCTGTGAACCTTAATCTTAGGAGAGATAAAAATAGTGGAGAAAGCAACTTTTTTTTTTATTAAAGATTTATTTATTTATTTGAAAGAGTTACACAGAGAGAAGGAGAGGCAGAGAGAGAGAGCGCGAAAAAGAGAGGTCTTCCATCCGCTGGTTCACTCCCCAGATGGCAGCAAAGGCCAGAGCTGTGCCAATCCGAAGCCAGGAGCTTCTTCCCGGTCTCCCATGTGGGTGCAGGGGCCCAAGGACTTGGGCTATCTTCTAGTGCTTTCCCAGGCCATAGCAGAGAGCTGGATCGGGAGTGGAGCAGCCAGGACTCGAACCGGTGCCCATATGGGATGTTGGCACTGCAGGTGGCGACTTTACCCGCTATGCAATGGCTCCAGCCCCTCTGTTTTCTTTATTAAATGTATAGTATTTAGAATCATTTGCCATTATTACATACATAGGAGTTTATTTAGGGTTTTTTGTTGGCATGGTTTGCTTATGGTGTCTTTGGGATTAGATTATCATCACTCTAGTTTATTGCTGGTAAATATTCTTTAGTGTGAATAGCATCAGAGCTTGGAAAATATTTGTGGCTAGTTATTTGTAAAACAAGCTTTGTCTTTTGTTTTTTAAAGTAATTTCAGGTGAAACACCTGTAGTCCTAATTGTTTCAGTGCTTTATTTTCTATTCACTTTTTTCTGTGGACTTCCAGTTTTTAGTGATGGTGGTTGCTTGTTTTGAGGACTGTGTTTATCTGAAGTAGATGAGTTGAAGAAGGGAGTTTTCCTAGTTTTGATATGTTCTGTGAAAACGACATTTATGGAGAGATACCTTCTAATTTTTTGTATCTCTGACAGAGATGGTGAATGATGTGCTGTAGCTGAACACGATATAAGTTAAAAAGAGTTGAACAACAGGGTATATTCTGTTTACAGAAAAATACTTCTAGCCTTGGGCTTTTGCTCAGAGAAGGATATACAGAAATGAAAGTTAAAAAATTGTGAATTTTGTTCAAGATTACATTCAGAATAATCTTTATTTGCTAAAGAATAAAGTACTATGTGTCTGCTTACTGATTGCTCAGACTGAATAAATTGTGAATTTTAATTATTTTCATCAGTGAAGGCAGAGATAATGTGGAGAATTAAAACCAGCAATACATCAGCTTTGTTCCATGCTATTTTGGATTTAAATTTTTTTCATATTTATTTGGTCCTTTTTCTCCCCTTGGGTGGCCAGTGCTGTTTAGTATTTTGTGAACATGTGATGGCAGGGGCGTCAGACTGTCTTGAATGGGAGACTGCCAGCCTGAGAAGCAAGTGCTGTGTCCAGCAGGACTGAAGGTGGGGTGGTCAGAGGGGACTGGAACAGGAAAGTCAGGGAGTCCAGAACCCAGCAGGTGAAAAGTCTGAAGGAAGCGCTGAGGCACAGGAGGGGTGATAGACACAGAGTGCTGCTGTCCCTCTCCCCTCCCTCGAAGAAAGTCCGTGTCGCTGAGGCACAGGAGGGGTGATAGACACAGAGTGCTGCTGTCCCTCTCCCCTCCCTCGAAGAAAGTCCGTGTAGACCTGGGAGGCAGCACTGGAAACCCGAAGACATCAGTGGTAAGGGAGCCAATGCTGCATGCTGGCCAGCCATTAGGCACTGTGCTATCAGTGTACCCTCTTTTATTGAAGAACAGGGAGAAGAAGACGTGTGCAGAAGAGGGAGTGACCTTTGGAAGCAAGAGGGTTAGGAAGCAGTGGGCATCTCCCGGAGGGGTTACTTGTGTTGGAGTGGAGCAGAAGCACATCCTTAGGTACACATTGGGGAGCTGACTGGAAAGTTTTGTTGGGATTTGGGATCCCTGGGAGTAGGATTGGGGATCCTGGTCAGGTGATGTTTTGGGAAGGAGCAGGTGGATGGCTGGCCTTGAGCAGTAGCCCAGAGACAGGGGGTGAAGACTGCATCAGGGTAGTGGCCGAGGTGGTAGAGAGGAGAGGCCGAGACTGATAGGTGGGGCATTGCTCTCTGCTGTGTTTAACTTGCTGAATTCACTGCTTCTTGCCAGGCTTTGGTATGTCCCTTTAAATGGGTAGTCTTTCTCCACTACATAGGAGGAGCCTTGATATTTGCACTTGAAAGTGCCAAAATTACTGTAAGATGCTCAGAGATGTAAATTGACCTCTGAAGACATTAGTCTGTCATTTGGAGCAAGCACTTAAGCCTTTCTGAAAGGTTCTCTAAATGTTATCTTCTAAGTGTAGCATCTCCTGTTCTTAATTGGAGGTAAAAGCTTCCAGTGCGGCAATATAGATTCTGTAGAATCAGGCGTTTCCATTGGGAGGAGGGTTGTAACAGCTGATTTGCCCTGAGTGGCATGCTTGGACTTGTCCTGAGATATTTCCCTCCTGCTGGAAAGGCTCCCGGGCTTGGGTAAGATGGGAGGAAGCTAGCCCTGTTGAGCAAGTCATGGTGTGTCGCTCTCAAAGAATATCAACCCCAAACTTCCAAAGGCTGCATTAGATTTGGAACATTGAAAGTTTTCCAGAAAAAAGCAACCACCAAACAAAATCCTGCTGATTTGGGCTTTTTTAATGTATTACTTGAAGCTTTGTAATAAATATGTAAACCATTTGTACATCTGCAAACTTGTATTTTGCCTTTTTTCTTAACCAATATTGACACCCAAAACTACTCTCCAGACAGTATTGGATACTGTTTGACAATATTTTGGTGCAGATTGAGCCTTGAAGTCCAGAGAGACCTTTTTTGAAATAGTAGATCCTACTTTAGAAGCCATGCTGCC